AGGCAAAGCCAGGACAGACAGACTCCACACTCGTGTCTCGGCCACTGAGAAGAACAGCAGCCTGAGTTTTACCCACATCCAAAAATAAAAGCTGCAAAGGAATTTGTCAAGTTCCTCCCTTCTTCCTCCTTCAGACACTTGGGTCTCCCCTGGAAGCAGAAACCAGAATCAGAAAGCAGAAAATGGCCCAATGGCAAATCCCACCCTGCTCAGTGGTGGGAACCCACCAGTTTCTGAACATTCCCGCCTCTTACAGGATGGTAAAAATCAACCTTGTCTCCCCAAAACACTCCGAGACGATGGCAGGCACCAGCAAATGGGGACAGCCTGGGGGCCAGGCTGGATGGGTGATGCCTATTTTACCTTCGCACAGTTTTGTGGAATATTTTGCACGAACCAACTCCCTTTTACACACCAGAAACTCTACTGTGAACTTTACATGTAAGAATTTGCTTCCCAAAAAAGCAATAAGCTTCCACACAATCTGTCTGGACCAGCCTTCCTGTAAGCAAGAAGTGGAACCGGAAAGGAGCAAACCTGTATATCAGTGGCTCAATAAACCACGCTTACATCCCATTTCTTGAAATGCCGAGTGGCACTGTGTGCTGGGATGGCGCCGTAATGCAGCACCACCCCCACCACCCCACGAGCTGGTTCCCCGCTCTCTGCCAGAGCCCCACGAGCACCGCAAGGACGCCTGCGGCAGCGAGGTAAGGAGCCCGGAGAAACCAAACCCCTCGCTCTGCCACAACTTTTAGCCCACAGCTGGGAGAAGCACGCTCCCCTTTGGCATTGCTGGCGACCCCGCAGCCAGCCGGATCCCCCAGCAATCCTGCCTTGGCTGCACACTCACACCTCTCCGCCTTACGCCCCTGTGCAGAGACGCAGCCGAGGCCTGGGAACGCTCTCCTTGGAGGTGCAGCACGGCAACCAGCAGTTGCAGCCTTTCTCCCCCCTGTCTGGGATTGTGTCTCCAGGCCACGCTCCCCGAGCTGCTGATCCACGAGCAGGTGGAGGAATGAGGTGTGGTGTCTGCCTGCCCCGGAGGGAACTGCAGCGCCCGCCACGGATTTCAACGCCCCGCTAACTTTGAAGGTGCTCGGTACCCACTAAGCTAATTGAGATGAAGCCTGGGTATCATTTGTACCTGTGCTTTTTGTTTGGGAGGGTGGAGAACACCGGCAGGAGTCAAATAGTCAGCAGTGGTCCCATCAGATAGAAGCAGCTAGGCTGGGCTCCAGCACCTGCAGAGGAATTACACAGCACCAGCAGGCAACATGCTTGTTTTGATCTTGCTGTGAATATGTATTTGGCAAATAAAGACCTAAAGCTGGGAACCGGAGCAGAACCTGCGAGTTTCATGCCATCCTGCCGCCCAGGCTGCTCATGTGATGACGCTATCTGAGCAGTGGCTATGTAAAGAATATTGCCCTCTTACCAGGGTTAAGAGGGTCAGAGCAAATTAAGTGCGTCTTACTGAGTGACTGCAAGGGGGGAAGTAAGTTCCCTTTCTTAGGAAAGCTCTCTAGCACGAGCTCCTTTCTCCCCAGCATGCTAGATTATCTCCAACCCACACCGCCAAAACTGGAGGAAAGCAAGTCTCCAGGGTGGCCAAGGCTTTGCTCATCGCTGCAGCAAGACTGAGACACGGCGCCTTCTCACCGGCGCAGCAGAACGACAAGCTGGGCCCCCAGAGCTGCACCTTCCTGCCAGGGAAACCTAGATCCTGCCTCCCTCCAGCCCCGAGGAAAGCATCAGAGAACACACTTTTGAATGCCTATCCTATCTTTCAGCCGGTGTTTTATCAAACACTCATTTCGCCCATGAGCCGAGGGGGGGGGTGACGGGAAGCAACGCTGTCAGGTGGGCTCAGTTTTGACCAACCTGGATGGGAGCTCCCGGGGCCACGCACCTCCGAGAGGCGTGCCCGCGCTCACGAGCAAGTCAGCTGCAGGGCATGAACGGATGGAGAAGAGCCAGTCCTCTTCATCGGCCTTCGGACTTCCTTTTCCTCCAAGACCTCCTTTGCAGGCAGATGGCTTCTGAGGTTCTCCATAAACGCTCAGCTTACACTAAACCCGAGCAGGCACATTTCTGGAGAGCAGCCTGGCAGGTTACGCTGTGCCATCCCACCTCCGCTCCGCTTGCTTCCATTAACTTTTGCACAAATGATTCATTTTGCCCAGTCTTTTGTAAACAGCATTCGAAGCCAGCTGGAATTTGTTGTGCACCTAAATTACACTTGCTCAGCAGGCTCTTCCACAGAAGGGATTCATTTCAATCTTTTGCCTGTGGTGGGGGCACAGCAACGTGCATCCTCTCTTTCACTGCAGGAGCAGAGGCTCTCTTCACAGAAGTGGAGCAGCACGGTTAAGACTCAAACCTCCCTGCTACTCAAACATGAAAGTTACACCTTGAAGGAAGGAGGGAAGAAGAAACTCACTGGATCTCTCAATTGTAGCCCTGGGGCAAATGTCACTGCTGAAGAGCACGAGGTGGGTAGGGGCGGGTGAGCAGTCAATACCTGAAGCTGAAGTGCAAAGCACGAGGAGGCTCGGACACAGGCAGGTATCTTCAGCAGAGAGGCTGACCTTGTCACACCCCAGACGGTTTCAGCTGTCCCCCAGCTGACGAGGAAGCTATTAATGGACATAATGGGAAAGCACAAACATGCACCAGTCAACCACAGCAAAGGTCAGAGGGGGATGGTTAAGAGACCAAATCTGAAATGAGGTAAGCCAACTTTTTAGAGCAGGACAAGCGTCGGCATGAAACCACGGGTTCCTGAGGCTGAGAGGCAATCTTCACAACCTCATCTGAGGCTGCAGCATGTCAAGCCTTCGTTTTGGTGCCAGGACCCACTCCCACCCACCTCCTCCTTCCTTTCACTCCTCCTGTGCAACCAAGAAGTGAACCCAAGGGGGAATTAGCTGCTGGACTACTGGACTGACCAACTGCAGCCATCGGGAAAGTCGGTAGTTCTGCCCATAAAATGTGGGCGATGACTAGAAATGAAATGTCACCATTCTCAGGGAATCTGCCTTTGTAAAGCAGGCCGAATCAAGCACGGGACATGACAGGCAAGAGGCAACCTTCCCCTTGCATTAACACAGGCAACAGAATAAGAGGACAGACCGCAGATGATATCACATGCGCACCTACAGAGAGGCGTGGAGAGGACTTCAGCCATTTTATCTTTTCCAATCTAACACAGAACTGGAGATAAATTCATCCAACTGGCACAGCGTAGTCTTCAAAAGCCAAAAACTTTACAGCTGGTTTGCTAAGAGATTTTTTTTTGAGGTGTCGGGAGTGGGAAGAGAAAAACACAGCTAACGCTCCTTCCTACAGCGAGGGGAGAGAATGTTATTTCCTTCACAGATTTAGTTTATAAACAGTTTTACTTTTAAAGCAGAGTTAAAACCGGGATAAGAAAGTATGCTCAACACGCATTTTGTCATACCACACTGCTTGCCATACAAGCCAACACTGCTTTTCCTGACTGGAATTAAAAAATCCTTTACATGCAGAGCTCAGCTCAGCTCTCGGTGTGCTGCTGGAGCAGGCAGGGAAGGCTCTTTGAGATGCTCTGCACCCCACTGTGCCCCACTATGGCAGAGCTGAATACGACAGCTTCACCGGCACCACACACCGCAGCAAACGCCTTTCTAGGAGACCCAACACCAGGCTGCATGCACATCGCCACGTGAATTACAGCACCTGGAGAACAGAGCAATACTGAGATGGAGGACACCCGTAGAAACAGATCTGGACTACTCCAAGGGGAACCTGAAGCCACAGCGGCCGTTCTTTTCATCTCCACACTCATTACCAACCACTATGAGATGGCACTCTGGACAGGTAAAGAAAAGCTAAACACTACTTGCTCAGGATCTCGTGGCATAGGAGAAAACAGCGGCTCGGGCTGGCAGGTCCTCAGGCACGAGAGCACTAAGATACACCTTCCAGGGGGAGACCCGGGATAAGTAAGCATGCTGCTGAGCTGCAGCACACAAGGGCCCAGTGCTCTGATAAGCGGCCTCTGGAAGGTGAAAACACACAAAGATCTTGAAACAGTTAGAAAATAAATAAATAAATAAATAATTAAAAAAAAAAAATGCACAGCCTCGCAGGACTGACTACACCGGTTCTGCTGCATTTCCACACAAGCCCAAGGCACAGTGCTGGCCCTGCACCTCCAACACTTGCAAATCACAGGCTGCCTTAGAGTAGGGTGGCACAGTGGCACCAAAGCAGAGTCAGTCCTTTTGCAACCAGAGGTGAAACTATAAAGCCGTAAAACATGGGAAGAAGGAGCTAACAGATCAGTGAGCAGTATCCCACTGCTCATTTATTTCCATATCTAACCAGGCCCCCCCCAAAGCTCTCGTTAAAGGAGCCTCCTTCATACCAGTTTTGATACAGGAAGGGGCACGAGCAAGACCTGGCTGCTTAAATCAAAGTCATTGCCCTGAATACTGGAATGCCTGGCAGCACTTTTACTCGGTGATTGAAGTCGTTAGTCCCTTGCTGCAAATGCAGAATTACTGCAGACTAAATCTGGACAGCATTGCTTGAACCAAGGCCAAGGTGCCTCATTTCTGTGACTAACTAATACCAAATGAATCATCTCTTTAAACAGAACTCCAGCTTGGACTTTCAGGGACTTGCAAAAATAATTGCATTTGTGTCTTATACCCAGCAATTTTCATCTGTAGTGCCCATTCAAAGGAAGAACCTATGAGTACAACTGCTGGCAATTATTTTGAATGGGTTTTTTATACTTTTAAGCACAGATATTTTCTTGTTTAAATTGAGATCAACACTTATTTCCTTCTCTCAATGAACTTTATGCTTGCCTCCTTTGATGCTGATGTCCAGTAAGAGGCATTCAGAACATGATGCAAGTGCTTTTTTTTTTTTTTTTTTTGTATGTGCACTCTTCTAATGAAACTAATAAAACACCATGCATGACAGAGCAAGAAATTAACTTCGTGAGAGCCAGGAGGATATGGGTTTAATTTCTCTTGATTTAGCAAAACAACAATAACCCTGTATAATAATATGCCACAGTCTTGATGAAGAGAAAGTTCAGCATTGATCTTAAGTCTGCCTCTGTAATACCAGATCACTTTGCTACCACACATTGACTATCTGACATCCAAAGACAAAGCAGCCTGAATTCATCGGTGAAGAACAAATCAGAATAAAGTGATTTCCCTTCTAGGACTCTATTCTCTTATGCTGTAGCTGGAAGATGATTTAACCAGCATTTTCTTCACACTACACAATTGATGCAGAGCAGGCACGTTGAACTCAACTGCTTCTTCACTCAAGTTCCGTGGTCCATCGCAGTTAGGGCTCCCCGGAGCAGATTTCATTTCAGCCAGATCCACTTGTCACCAATATCAGCATTGTAGCCTTGCTTAAAATTGCGCCCAGGAAGCTAGAGAAAGCAGAAAGTTCAGTCAGACACATTTCTCTTCACTCTTTATGGAAATTTTTAGATTTTTTTTATCAAGTGCCTCATGGTATCTGCAGAAGTGCAACATGAAATCTCTTTTTACAGCATAATGATTAAAACTTAGAGTAAAATTAGTCCTTTTGAAAAAATTGAGCTGTGCAGATGAAGGGGGGACCCACAAAAACCACTATGCCATAATATGTATGTATAAACTAGATCAATAATCCCAACAGCACAATAGCATATTCCACCTGGATGCATCCAACTCTTCTCCCCTACACACCCTTGCTCCCAGCTTTAGCGAGAGATGACCCCTCTAACTTTAGTATATGTAGTAGAGGAATTGAATCATTCCGTAGAGTCTCATGACAAAATAAGTACATGTTATTAAATACATGAAATATTTCACGCATGAAACACTGAGCTAATTATTGTATTAAATCCCTCAAATGAAATTACGTATTTAGCCTCCAAGAGCTGAACTCAACTTCATTAAAGCAAAAGCAATAGCTGCCTGTCTTCATAAGCAAAGCCGGAAACCACTACTCCCTGGAAAAAAAACAAAGTTTCTTGAACCCCCCTACCCAAATTTCACCAGTACCCTGGGACCTGAGCAGCAGCCTTCACTTGGTGCTCCTGAACCTCACTGATCTTTCAGTCTGGAACTCTTCCACAGGGACCCAGCAGCCCCTGCCTAGGTGGCTCGGACACACAGGTTAGCCTCACCAACCTTTCTGTACCCGCGGAGCCACGAGGAGCCACGGTGCTGCCGCACCAAGTCACCCTCCGTGCGGTTCACTGCACCTCGTTGTAGGCGAGATGGCAGAGGGCTGGGGACTGCAGCAGGGAGCCTTTCCTTCTGGCAGCATCTCAAGAGCTTGGGCTGGTTGTACAGGTCACAAGGGGGATCACGCGTGGAGCGGTTTGAGCACAGCAAACCAAGACACGTGGTGCAGAGGGAGAGGCTGGATGAGCTGGAGCACAGGGAGGGGGACATCTGATGTATCAGGAAAGCTGCACCCTCACCAGGTAGGGAAAGCAAATTATCTTTGAGATGAGAGCAAATGGAGAACAGCAGTAGCCTAAACAGAGTCTTGGCATTTGGGAGTTTGAGGAGTTCTGTCTACACCTAGAGAAGGGGATCTGTTACCTCCAAGCCTGTGAAAGGACATGAGACACCGAAGCACACACCTCCCTTGCTGGTAGTCCGCCTAGCCAGCCCAACAGCGGTCCCACGACCCCACAGCTTCCCCAAAGGGACCCCACAGCTTCCCCAAAGGGCTCCCGAGGAAGAGGGCACGCACAGCTGTGGGATCGTGCACCGGGAGGGAAAGCCCAGCCCGACCCTCTCTGCCCGCTGCTGCTGGCAGCCACCTTGCAAAAGCACTCAGGCGGCGTTACAGACCCAAAAATTCCACGGCCAAGCCGCTCGACCTTCAGTTTTAAAGATTTAGGAAAAGAGGCTGCTTAAGTAGCAGCCATTTTAAGGGATTACAGGCGCAGCACACAGGACTACAAGAGAAAGCTTGCCAGTATGGTTAAAATCGCAAACTCCACTTACACAGCGTACGTGCTCTCTCTGCAGGCGAGGGAAGCGCTCCTCCAGGCCAAGCAGGCTGCACCAGGTCAGCAAAAGCACACTGACGTGACAGAAGACTCACCACAAGCGTGCCAACAATGCTGTCATCAGAATCATCTCCTAACAACTCGCTTTGCAAAAAGCGGCACAAATTTTTAGCGCAGTTTCAGCCTGAATAAACGGAACGCAGGCTCAGTACCCGCTAGTTAATTAAGCCACAGGAACAAAACCTGCCAGCGACAGGATCAATGCATAAAGTAGCTGCTCTGGCAATTACTCTGAACTGAGTGATCTGATGGAGGAAATGGATGTAGATACATTTCGACCTCCGAGTCTCAGGTGTTAAAGCAGTCTCCTTCGGAAAGTACTGACCATGACCTGAAGTGCCAGAGATGGTTAGCTCCTAGTTCCAAAAGCAGAATCTATCTCTAGAACCTCTCTCCCTATCCCCAGGAATGAAAACAAGAGAACACAGTGTTCACCCTTGAGATACACTGCTGGAAGCAAGAAGCAAACCACCATGAAAAAGCAAATGAGTTTTGTGAGAAAGTCTGAAGCAAGCAAAGATGCTATAACAAAATTCTTCCTTTAAAAATAAGCTATCTGCTGGCAGCCTTTACAAATAATTAAGCACAGATCATCTGCTCATCTCCACACAAACACTGGTTTCACACAGGCCCCCTGACTTGTCCTGATGATTTTTCCTATCAAACAATTGTAATAGTATCCTGTTTGAGAGAGCTGCCCCTGCAGAGAGAAGCAAGACCCAGTCTTGATTAAATCTATGCTTGGACCACAGAAACAGCTATTTAACCCAGGATGAAGCCTGTTGTTTTAAGGAAGGGGAAGAGTGTTCTTTTTCGTTTTATTTGAAGGTCAGAAAATAAGACACTTTTTTCCTCCTAAAACATCAAGCTAACAGAAGACTTCTACCTCCTTCATGTGACATTCCCCATCCTGCCTTGTCACAAGCCACCACAAGCCATTTGTGATTAGTTTTTCTAAGGTTTTTCATTTAAAGTCATCTTTCATGTTTTGTCTAAATATCAGAAGAAACCATGCAGTCCTGTTAAAAAGTTCCTCCTGCTGAGCAAAGAGGAGATGTGAGATGAAAATAAATTATTACTATCTCTGTCCCGCAAATTTGCAGTGGTAAGCTAGGAAGGACATCAGACCTGCTGTGACCAGCCTGTATCTATTAATTCTAGCATAAAAACAGCTCTCCCTAGCCCTCTCCAGGCAGCACATAATTGGCCCTTTGATACTTCAAGAGGTTCCCAGATAACTAGATTATTAAAGCAACAGGAGCTCTCTGGGAAAATACAGGAGTTTACAATTTCATTTCTGGGGAAATCTGCCCTCTTTAAAAGATACAATATCAATCCCAACAGAATTCAAATTCATTGTCCAAAACAAATTCCCCATGTGTCTTTGGTTAAAAACATGCAATACATGAAAGCAAATTTTATAATAAGTATTCATCCATACTCCATCGTTCACAGTGGGCCTTGGCAAAAGCAGTCGAGTTTGGGAATATGTTACAGCCAAGCTTTCAAAACAGCCAAAAAAAAAAAAAATGTGAAGAGGAAGGCACAGTAAACAAATCCTGTATTACCTAGCAAGCAGAATGATGTGAATTTATGTTCTGCGTACTACCTGCACCAGGTACAAGTAACACAGATGACTTCCCAAGAACGGGCTCTTCAAAGCTCACATTTTACAGTTGTGACCATAGTAAAAGCTGCACAACTAGGAACGAGATAGGTCTATCCCAGAGGGGAGGAAGCTGGTGATCTTTTAGCACTTATTGAAAAATTACTGGAACAGCAATCAGTCCTGTGCTTGTGGTCTTCTGCCTTCCCTCCAGCTCCTCGCATGTCCACCTCCTGCCATCACAAGCATTTGCTCAATACCACGAGCAGCCTGGATTAAAACGGCCGGATAAAAAGTGTTGCAGCCACGTTGCACAGCGTGGCTGAACGGACCAAATAACACGATGCCAATAAGAAGAGGCCCTACAGCACCCATCCTCTAATCTCTCTGCTGCACAGTCCAAGCCAGCTCTGCAGCTTTGGTGGATCATTCCCTAAGCTCAGTCAACCCCCTCGCCCAGCAAGAGGCTATTCACTCCTGGCTGGGATCATTTTCGGTGACTCAGCAAGCTCAGTCAGCCAAATACATACCAGACCACTGCAAAGAAGAGTGGTGGGAGCACCAGGGAAGATCTGGGGATGCAGGCCAAGAGGTAGGATGTGTTTCTTTGGGTGACCACAAACGGTTAAACTGGTGCTGCAAACTGCACCCAGCTGAAGTTCCCAGCCTGTTTTGCCCAGGGCTGCTCAGCCGGCACAAGGGTAGGGATGGGAACAAGAGGGCAGCCCCAAGGCTGCTGGTATTGCAGCCAGAAGTAAACTTAGAAAGAAAGAAAGCCTCGAAAAAGAGATGATGGGAGATAGGACAGAGCTCTGCATAACTTGCCAGTAGCTGAGAAAACACAGAGAGTGACTGAATAGTCACTGTCTCTTCCAGTATCAGATGCAGGTGTCATTAAACACAGCCAATGCCTTGTGAGACTCCTTGCTGAAGGATACTGCCGATACAAAATTTAGCAGGTCTCGATGGGAAACCAGGCAAGTACTTGGAATTTTCCACAAGACTTGTGCATCGTGACTACGTTTCCCAGTCAGAACTATAATGCAAATCAGCAAGGCCACATCACTTTCAAGTGGCTGGCACAGTCACAGGAACGCTCCACGCTCCAGGTGTGTTACCTTCAAATCACACTTGAGGAAAAGCTGTAACTTAATGGCCATGTTCAAAATAATAGTAGCACATCCTATTACGCATGGTTAATTAGTAACAACACATTTCCACAGGCAAGTAAAAGTAGCATACAGGGTCAAATAAATTCCTTCAAACCCTCTTAGGTCCTTCATTGACATCAGCCCAAAGAGACCTACAGAGTCACCAAGAGGCTTGTCCAGCACCAAGTGTTAGAGAAAGCAGCTGACTACCACACCAAAGTTGACCCATCTTTCCCAGGAAAAGAAAGAAAAGCCGCGTCATTATCTCAGCAGCCTTCTAGATACATACTTCGCAACACAAGAATTAGGTCTCTGCCCTCACCAGCTTACAAGTGAAGGAGCACTGAACAAGCAAGCGGGAACGAAGATCCCACTAGAGGAGCCCAACAGCTCGCACGCACCCCTGCAGCAGGAGGTAAGCGTGAGCTCCTGCAAGGTCACTGCCAAGTAACAGATTTTTCCACTCCGTGGAAATGGATGAAACCGAGAAACAAGTTTCGGTCTGCTGCATTACACTGTGCAGAGCTTAAAGTTGGCAGCAAGGATTATCTCAAGAAGCATGCGATAAAATCCACCACACAGAACATGAAACTAATGAA